ATCAATCAAAGCCCTCATCTCAGCAAGGGGAGGCAGCAAGTGAAAGCCCCAAATTGAGGCCTCTGTCTTATCACTAGTCCACTGAAACGTCCTGCAGAGGGCACATGCAGCTTGTTTTCTGAACACTCTCTCCCTGGGATATTGACCACACCGTTCAGATCCATACTCAGCTTAAACATTTTTACCCATCAGCATGTCTGCGGTCACAAAACACTTCTTCTTTCTGTCACTTTTCTCCCAGACTATTGATGAGATCATTTAGCCAAATCTCAGACGCGTGTAGTATTGACTTGGAGTTAGAAAAGATGATCAAATATAATAACCCGCAAAATGCAGCTGCATTGGCTCCTCAGATCCCATCCATCAAATATTCCAAATATCTGAACATTCTGACTCATAGATAGATAGATAGATAGATAGATAGATAGATAGATAGATAGATAGATCTGTGCTCATCTGAAATCCATATTTAAAAATGCAATAAAATAATGAAAGAAATAGAATGGGTGGCCCTATTAGAGTAGCTTGCACCAGAAAAAACTTTTGAGATGACTTAAACTGCACATATATTGATTATTTTGCCTCCTGATCATCAATAGTTGCAATAGCTGCCAAATTCTAGGTCGGTTTTTAAAGCATGACTTATGTATGGATTTCTGTGCACAGTTACTATTATTTTGATTTATTTTGTATGCAATCGAAATGAAAATAACCCTACTCTACACGTTCATGTTTACCAGATGAACAGACAAAATAAGGATTCAATAAAAGCGTCAGGTTAATCTGCATTTTCTGGTTTTATGTAGATAATAAAATATTACTTTAACATAAATATATAAGGATATCTGTATTTTATTTCTCCCCACAAGCACATTCAAAATATACCAAAACAAATTGTTCCAGGAGTCTGAAAAAAAATGTACATCTTTATATAGATTTCAGCCACCTATTTGTTCAAATTGACAGGAAAAAAAAATCCAGAAGATTTTTTTTTTGTTTTTAAAAGAAATAAATATACAGTGAGTCAGGCCACTTTAAAACGATATGAAAAATATTTCCCTGGGCAGCATAAAAAAACATAGACAAAATTAACGTTTAAACTATTTTTTGCATTTTATAAGACACATTTTTAAACATATGTACATAGTTAGCTTTCGATGCCAGAAAGGCGTCCACCTAAACAACATTGGGATACCTAGAAAATTATCCATCCCCCCACCCTCCCCCCGATTCTAGCTAAACAATCAGAAACTGCTGTACCAGGCGCCCCCAAAAAAACTCTTCAGTGAAGTTTGTGATCAGCTGGAACGAATGGGTTAAATCGCCAAAGTTCTAGCGTTAGCGGTGCAGTCAGTTTAGGGTTAAATAGCAATTACAAGATAAATGTTATATGAATTGCATTAATGGGAAATTAATTTGTGACAACACTGATGCCAGTAGGCCGGTCTACTTTTAACGTTGCCTCTGTTTCGTGCCTTTGAAAGTAGGCGCTTTAAAAAAAAACGTTACAATGCAGTATGTGAAGCCTCGCTTCATCGCCTCTAAAGCCTTTGTTTTGAGGATGCTAGAGGTTTACCTCCAAGATAATGTCAAAGAATTCAGCTTTCTAGACAATAGGGTGAAAAGAGGCTGAAATGGGGAGATCTTTTGTCCCCACAGCCCTCCTACCACAATGGATAAAAGAAGACCATGACAACACAAACATCTGGCGAAATAAAATAGAAAAAAAAAAAAAAAAAAAACAAAGTGAAAAAAAAATCTTTGATCGGGGCTTTAAGAGTTTCAATGCAAAAGTGAAATGGCAATTTGAAAAACAAAAGAAAAATCAATCATGTCTGTAAAGGCAGATGCTATTGGTGGTGTACCTGGCTTCTTGGGTTCAAGGATTCAAATAATTAAAAAAAACAAACAATATTTTTGGCAATCTAAATTCCCAATTAATATGACTAATTACTGTAAAAGCAGAAGCTGGTAAAAGAGGGGTACCTGCCTTGTGTGCAAGGGTGCACTAGTTAGGTAATAATCCTGAAAACAACATTTCTGGGACTTTAAATTTACAAATGATATTACTAATTATTGTAAAAACAGAAGTTAAAAGAGGGATACCTGCCTTGTTGTGTGTAAGGATGCACTAGATAGATAATAATCTTGAAAACAACATTTCTGGAACTTTAAATTTACAAATGATATTACTAATTATTGTAAAAACAGAAGTTAAAAGAGGGATACCTGCCTTGTTGTGTGTAAGGATGCACTAGATAGATAATAATCTTGAAAACAACATTTATGGGACTTTAAATTCAAAAATTATTATTACTAATTAATGTAAAAACAGAAGCTGTTAAAAGAGGGATACATGCCTTGTGTGCAAGGATGCACTAGATAGGTAATAATCTTGAAAACAACATTTCTGGAACTTTAAATTTACAATTAATATTACTAATCAATGTCAAAGCAGAAGCTGTGAAAAGAGGGGTACCTGCCTTGTGTGCAAGGATGCACTAGTTTGGTAATATTCCTGAAAACAACATTTCTGGGACTTTAAATTTACAAATAATATTACTAATTATTGTAAAAACAGAAGTTAAAAGAGGGGTACCTGCCTTGTGTGCAAGGATGCACTAGTTAAGTAATAATCCTGAAAACAACATTTCTGGGACTTTAAATTCACAATTAATATGACTACTTACTGTAAAAACAGAAGCTGTTAAAAGAGGGGTACTTGCCTTGTTGTGTGCAAGGATGTATTACTTAGGTAAACAATATTTCTTGGACTCTGGGATCACAATTAATATTAATATTTTCTGTAAAGGCAGAGGCTGGTTAAAGGAGGTGTACCTGGCTTGCTGAGTGCATGGATGCACTTGTTATGTATTATCTATAGAAAAGAATCTTTCTAGGGCTCTAAATTCACAGATAATATTAATAATTGCTATAAAGGCGGAAGCTGTTAAAGGAGGTGTACCTGGCTTGTTAGGTGCAAGCATGCACTTGCTATGTATAATCTAGAAAGTAATCTTTCAGGGACTCTAAATTCACAATTAATATTGATAATTGCTGTAAAGGCAGAGGCTGTGGAAATGATGGGGTGTAACTCGCTTGATGGGTGCAAGGATACACTAATTAGATATCATCTTGAACTTGCAGGTGTAACCTAGAAAGTAATCTTTCTGGGATCCTAAGTTCACAATTATTAGTGATCATTTCTGAAAAGGCAGGGACTATTTAATGGAGGTGCAATTGCCTTGTAGGGTGCATGGATTCACTAGTTAGGGTTAGTCTTGAAAACAAAACTTCTGGGACTCTAAGTTCACAAATAACAATTGCTGTGAAGGCAGGAGCTGTTTAAAGGTGTACCTGACTTGTTGGATGCAAGGATGCACTAGTTAGATACATCTTGAAAGCAATATTTGTGAGACTATAAACATTGACAAATAATTGCTGTAAAGGAAGAGGCTGTTTAAAGGACGAGTACCTGGCTTGTTGGGTGCATGGATGCACTAGTTAGAGATAATCTTGAAAACAATATCTCTGGGGTTGATTTTCTAAAACTGAAGAGTGCAAAATCTGGTGCCAATCAGCTTCTAACTTCAGCTTGTTCTATTAGGCTTTGACAATAAAACCTGAAAGCTGATTGGTTTCTTTGCAGGGTTGCACCAGATTTTGCACTCTCAAGTTTTAGTAAATCAAGCCCTCTGAGACTAAACATTGACCAAAAATAATTGCTGTAATAGAAGGGGCTATTTAAATGAGGTGTACCTGGTTTATTGGGTCTAAAGATGCACTAGTTAGAGATAATCTTGAAAACAATATTTCTGACACTATAACTTGACAGATACGAATGGCTGTAAAGGCAGAGGCTGTTTATAAGAGGTGTATCTGGCTTGTTAGGTGCAAGGATGCCCCCATTAAGTGTAATCTAGAATGGAATCTATCTGGGACCATAAGTTCCCAAACTTTAAAGGCATGACCTAGGGTTGACTGAATTATCTGAACCAATATTAAAAGAAGGAATATGAATAGAATTCAATTCAGGCCCTCCTAAGCACCAATCCCCAAGTGCATTATTTTGAAGCACGTTCTTGGTTACACTTAACCTCCTCTAGGACCTAAGGCCTCTTTGGTAAAACGATTCAATCAGAGGCTACATTGATTTTTCTCTCCCTTTCCATCCCTGTCTCAGCACTGGCTGAAAATGAAGTTTACTCAACATTTTAAAAAAAAGTAACGGATGAGGCTCTCCTTCAAAAACCCTAAGTGCAGTCTTGAAAAGTTGATGTCACTCAACATCAATGGTCTTCATGGTGTGCAATCTGGTATACCAGATAAGCAGCCTTCTGGAAAGGGGAAGTGTGGGAGGGTGAAAATAAAATGTACACTGATTTTAAAACACATTTTTGTTTATAACAAATGTCCACAAACAGGTAACAAAACAAAAAAGAGCACTAGAACATGGTGTCCTTAACCCAATGGTAAACTGAAATAAAAAGAAAAGAAATTGCTCCCTGTTTCAATGTGCCAGTCTATTATTGTTTTTTTTTTTTGGAGAAATAAATCTTCCTTGAAGGGTTCATGTAAACTTCAATTTCCTCGCAGTGCAATTTAGACTCATAAATATTGTCAATGTTGTAATCTGCTTTTGTTTGTTAAAGGGCTCCGCATTAAATACATACAGCAGCTAGAATCATCACTGAGCATCCTCATCACCACCATCCTCCCAGGGAATTAAAGCTAAATCTCGCTTTAACCAATGATTCTGTTGAACTGTATATCTGAGTGGCTTTTTTTTTTTTTTTTTGCTAGACATGAGCTCCTGACATGTTTTTTTGTGTATACTCACTTCTACTCCATTGGCTGGGTAGTCGCCTGCAAAAAGGTCAAAATACATCCTCACTACACCTGCTACCATTTAAGATAGTCCAGTGATGAGACGCTTTTGTTCTGGGCTAGTATCAAAAAAAGGGACAATCAAAAGTTCTAAGTGATGGATGGTGGAGGATTCACTGGACAGGAGTCTGAACCCCATGGTGTGGTGGTGTGTCTCTACTCCCCCCATATACATCCTCTGCCCCTGGGATAGTCCCTCCTGGTGGGGTCATCCTTTTCTCTTTCTGTCTCCTGTTACAAAACCAAACTCTGACCACCTCCTTTTCTAGCTGTAGACTGTCCGCCAGCGAGGTGATCTCCTGGGCAGATGGCTTGGGACACTTGAGGAAATGACTTTCCAGGGCCCCCTTGACGCTGACCTCAATGGAGGTCCTCTTTTTCCTTTTCCTCCCCTGAGCTGCTATCTTGTCTATGCTGGTGGGGCTTCCAGTAGACGAGTCCGCCTCTTCCAGCCACTTGTTCAACAAAGGCTTGAGCTTGCACATGTTCTTAAAGCTGAGTTGCAGGGCCTCAAACCTGCAGATGGTGGTCTGGGAGAAAACATTGCCATACAGGGTGCCCAGGGCCAGTCCAACGTCGGCCTGCGTAAATCCCAGTTTGATCCTCCTCTGTTTGAACTGCTTGGCGAACTGTTCCAGGTCGTCGGACGTCGGGGTGTCCTCGTCGGAGTGCTCGTGGTGTCCCTGGTGCTGAGAGTGCTGCTGCTGCTGCTGTTGCTGCTGTTGGGGTGGCTGCTGGTGGCCGTGGTCGCCGTGGTGCTCCTCGTGGGCGTCCCTCAGGCCGTGGTGGTGCATGCTTTGCCCGGATGCCGGGTTGATCATGCCGTTGACCGTGAAGGAAGGCTGCGAGTAGATGAGTCCTTGGCCGTTGGTGGAAGCCATGCTGGGCAGGTGGGCTGAGGTGGTGGTCCTCCATGGCCCGGCACTGTGGTGGTTCCCATGGGCTGGGTGGACCAGGTGAGGAGCTCTACCCTGATGCTGGAGGTGCTCCTCTCTGCTGGGCTGAACGCTGGGCTTGATGTCCTGCTGGCCCAAGGGGCTGGTGGACCAGGGCGCTCCATCCCCGTGAGACAGAGCCGTGATCCACTGGTGTGCGTGGCTCAGAGAGGGTGCCCGTTGCTCTGCAGCGTGTAGTCGCTCTGGACCAGAGTCCCCGCATCCCTGTATCCCGAAGCCTGCTGCATGCCACCGGGCTCGGCGTGGACGATGGACGAGCCGGAGCTCAGCAGGTTGTAGTGGTTAGACGCTGTGGTCGCCATGACTCTCCGAGCCCGACTGATAGCACTGGTTAAAGGAGCCGTGCATTTGACAGCTCCTTCTCCTCGCCCCGGGCGCCCCTCTCTCTCTCTCTTCCCTCCGCTGTGTGTCTCTGCCCCTCCGCTCCCCTGCAGCAAGCTTGTGCCTGTGCACGCGTCCCCGGCACCGCCTCCCCCGCGCTCCCATTGGCTCCCTCCCCTTTGATTTACGTGGATACCATTAGCAACGCTGGGCAGCCGGCAGCGCCTATTGGCGGAGCCCCCCCCCCCTCCGCTCTCCGCCCAGCCGTCATCCCAGGCTGCAGAGGCTGCTGCATCCACATGGAAGGAGTGCAAACAGAGGGGCGCTTTGTACATCGCACAGTCCTGCAAAGTAAAACAATCCCGGCCACGGAAACTTTCTTTGTCTTTCCCTGCCAGGAGCTGCAACTCTTACCTTGCTGGCCATTTCTGGGCGTCCCATCTCTGCAGAAACTTTCAATAAAATCCGGCCAGTTGCTGGGGATTGATCGCTGCCAGATGGGTCGCCCTGGAAACGGCGAGCTTTTACCCCCCCCCCCCCCCCCAGCAATCATCATCAGCCCCACACACCCCTCCATATCTTCCAATCAATTCATAACGATTATAAAGATTTTACTTTCAGATTAGCTGTTGTGTCAGTAGGCACTGCGACAAGTCATCAGCGATGATGTCACTGGGATGAAGGGAAATGTCATTAGGAGAGCCCAGCCGTGGGCAGAGGACGCCGCTGCTGCTGCTGGTCATGATGATGCTGCTGATGCTGCTGCTGCTGATGGTCATAATGATGGTGATGGTGCTACCCAAGGATGGGATGAGCTCCCAGCAGGTGACCACATGTAAGCATTGAAGACTAGCTGCAAGTCAGAAAGGTCAACGGAGGAGTCAGTAGCCCCTAATGTCCACATATTGGCTTACTGGCTCAATCAATATTGCAGTTTAGGTGTGTGTGTGGGGGGGGGGGGGGGGGGGGACCTCCGATCTGTCTGTCCGTCTGTGTGTGTCGGTGTAGATGTTGATTCTCATAAGAATGACGAGCAGCGCTCCCTGGTCCCGGGGTATGACTAACTCCAATCTTCCTATCGGAGCTGCTTGTAATGATGTGTTTATTTCTCTATCGATCCGTGCAGTACACACTGCCATTATGTGTTCCTACACCTTGATTAGTTATTGGCGATGCTGTGTCTCCACACTCTCTCTATCCACTCCATCAAGGCAGCGACGCTGAGCGGTAACCCCTAGCAACAGGATGCAGCCGGTTGCTATGGGCTACTGCGTGCTGGCAACGGGCTCACCGTTCCTGTGTGCTCTGATCGGATTCTGTGTATTGGTATGAAGGTGTCAGAAAGGAATGGAGGTCGGATCAGGAAAATGAACAATTGTGTCATTAGGAAGATTGAGATCGGTGGGGAATGCACCATTCCATGCTAATTCGACTTTTCAGACTTTTTACAAGTGACCTATCGAAGTACTGTACCTATCACAGAACTTTTTGCTATTGGAGTGACCAGCAAAGAATAGTCGTTTGGGATCTGTGTACTAATAACTAGTTAGGGTCACTTTGCTACCTGATCAACACTCTTTGTACAATCAGATTTACCAAAATGATGTGATATAAGGACCTACCTTATTTGTTCAATAAGTTTTTTATCCAATCAGGTATCCCCTTGCACTACATAGCTGTTGGGAGATCAAAAGGAGATTGTACAATCAGCTATCCCCTTGCACTAGATAGTTGCTGGGAGATCTAAAGGAGATTGTACAATCAAGTATGCCTTTGCATTACATAGGTGTTGGAAGATCTAAGGGAGATTGTACAATCAGCTATCCCCTTGCACTACATAGGTGTTAGGAGATCTAAAGGAGATTGTACAATCAGGTATGCCTTTGCACTACATAGGTGTTGGAAGATCTAAGGGAGATTGTACAATCAGGTATCCCCTTGCACTACATAGCTGTTGGGAGATAGAAAGGAGATTGTACAATCAGGTATCCCTTTGCACTACATAGGTGTTGGGAGATCTAAATGAGGTTGTACAATCAGGTATCCCCTTGCACTACATAGCTGTTGGGAGATAGAAAGGAGATTGTACAATCAGGTATCCCCTTGCACTACATAGCTGTTGGGAGAGCTAATGGAGATTATACAATCAGGTATCCGCTTGCACTACATAGCTGTTGGGAGATCTAAACGAGGTTGTACAATCAGGTATCCCCTTGCACTACGTAGCTGTTGGGAGTTCTAATGGAGATTATACAATCAGGTATCCCCTTGCACTACATAGCTGTTGGGAGATCGAAAGGAGATTGTACAATCAGATATCCACTTGCACTACATAGCTGTTGGGAGATCTAAATGAGATTGTACAATCAGGTATCCCCTTGCACTACATAGCTTTTGGGAGATCGAAAGGAGATTGTACAATCAGATTTTTTCTAGTTCAGACTCTATGTAAATTTCTAAAATATTTATGGCAAAACTGAATCTGCTTTTATACTCAAGTTATTACCTCAATGTATATCATTGTCGGTGTGTGGTCTAATAAGATAAATGTGACCATACACTATACAGTTTGATAGATCTACCAGTGCAAGGGCCTTCTTATTGTCATACTGAATGTTTTAGATTTGTCCTCCTATTTGGTAAAATCTAAAAGAGATTGCACACTCACCCTGTACAGTGTATGAACAGCTAAATTATAGCACAAACAAGTGTTTGTCAACTAGATAAGCATCTATGGCCAGTAGCTGTCATCTTAATACTTTCTAGTGTCTTTACAGCTGTAATACATTCCATTAGGTTCCCAGTACAGCAATAATACTGCATTGCTAAATGGCCCGGGGAGGAGAGAGTTAAATGCGAGGCAGCCTGTAATCACTAATAGGTAAAGTACAATCACAGTGTCAGATAACATCAAGCAGAAGACTGTCAGGGGACTGTATCAATATCCTGCCTACTGAATGGAGAACAGTGCAGGCGGTGCACTGCATGAACTGGATACATTGCACTGCTCTGCATCTGCTTTCCAGCCATCCACTCCACATCATTCCAAAGATTGGGGTTTGGGATAGGAGCTCCAGAGTTTTAGGTACCTGATAGGCCAAGTTACTTGGTATTTTGCACGTGTTAGTTGTATTCTGCTACTTACTGCATGCTGCATGGCTCATATCTTGCTGGGTCAGAAACTGAAAAGGAAGTCTAACACAGCAATCCAGCAGAACAATAATAATAATAATAATAATTACTATTATTAGTAATATATTATACACAACCTAGGATATATATATATATATATATATATATATATATATATATACACATACACACACTACATGCAGAATCTAGAAAGCTAAGTAACATAAGCAAAGTACTGACACTTAATTCACATACAGGGATACAATAGCAATTTCTGAATTGGTAAAATGTAGCATTTGCTTGCTTAGTCTCTCTCTTTCTCTCTCCCCCCCCCTCTCTCTCTCTCTCTATGTATATATATATATATATATCGCTCAATGGTGGATCTAGATACTATAGATATCTATATTTAGCTAGGTATAGGTTATGTAGGTGGATCTAGGCACTATATAGGAATACTATCTAAATGTATCTAGATAAAAAATATGATTCTCTAGGTGGATCTAGATACTTTATAGGTTTACTCTATAGAATTATCTAAAATACTATCTATTCATTATCTGGGTGGATCTAGATGCTGTGTAGGTATACCACCTAGATGAACATAGTTTATCTAGGTGGATCCAGATACTATATAGCTATACCATCTAAATGTATCTAGATATTATATAGGAATATCTATATGCAGCTAGATGTTATACAGGTTATGTAGTTGGATCTAGATACTATGTATGTAGGTGGATCTAGATACTATATAGGTCTACTATGTAAAGATACTATGTGTACATATCATTTAAGTTATGTAGGTTGATCTAGATAATATATAGGTATACTATTTAAATGTAACTAGATACTATATAGGTTATGCAGGTGCATGTAGATACTATATAAGTATGCTGTATATAAGATTACATAAATGTGTCTAGATACTATATAGTGGATGTAGATAATGCATAAGTATTCTGTATATAAGATTATATACATGGATCTAGATACTATATAATGGATGTAGTAGATAGTACATTAGTATACTGTATATAAGGTTATATAAATATACTAAATACTATAAAGGTTATGTAGGTGGATGTAGATACTATATAAGTATACTGTATATAAGATTATATCAATGGTCTGCATACTATGTACTGGATGTAGATAGTACATTAGTTATACTGTATATAAGGTTATATAAATATATCTAAATACTATAAAGGTTATGTAGGTGGATGTAGATACTATATAAGTATACTGTATATAAGATTATATCAATGTGTCTGCATACTATGTACTGGATGTAGATAGTACATTAGTGTACTGTATATACGAATATTTAATGTATCTAGATACTGTACAGGTTATGCAGGTGGATGTTGATACTATAAAAGTATACTGCATCTAAAATTCTTTAAATGTATTTAGATACTATATAGGATCATCTAGTTGGATGCAGATACCATATAAGTATACTATTTATAAGTTGATCTCGATACTTATGTAGTTGGATGCAGATACTATGTAGGTTTACTATCCAGATGTATATAGGGTTATCTCGGTGGAAGTAGATACGACATATGTTGTTACATTTTATCCTCAGCTTGTTATTCAGACTCTTCCTGAGTTCCCTACCAGTGGATTTAGTAGTGATCCCACACAGTGCTGTTTCTTGTAGAGGTCCTGTAACACACATGGGATTGAGATGAAGTAAATGTAAATGAGGTTTCAGTGAGAGAAGTCCTAGGAGGTGAATGACAGAGGGTTAGGTGCGCTATTAG